TACAGGGCCAACTAAGTGACACAATGTAGAGTCAGGAAGACCTGAGTTCAAATTCAACCTCAGACACTTACTAGCTCTGTGACCCAGGGCAAATCACTTAACCCTGTTTGCCTCAGTTTCCTCATCTGTAAAATGAGCTGGAGAAGAAAATAGCCAACCACTCCAGTATCTTTGCCACGAAAAACCCAAATGGGGTCATAGAGTCAGACATGACTGAAAACAACCAAACAAAAAATTTGGCTATAGGTATTCAATTTATTTTTTCATGATTTTGTTAATGAATTTTCTTCAGATTGGTCCAGTTTTTGAAAGTAGTTCAAACAATCTACTACTGAATTTCTTTGAATGTTTTAATGAAAGTTTACTTTATTTATTCTTTAGAATGGCTTTTGTGAAATGGTTATTGCCATTTTGAGATTTTCACATCATTATTAAATTTTAGAAGGCAGTTTAGAAGTAATCTAGAAAAAAATTAATCTAGTTCAGCTTTTCTCCCTGAATAAGAAAGAATATTGTCTATAATATTCCTACTAAACCACCATCCAGCCTCTGTTTTAAACATTTCCAATAACAATATAGTGTTTGCTACTCTTTGGTTACTGACCACCTCTAATTGTTAGGAAATTCTTTGTATTGAACCCAGAGTAGCCTCCCTAATTACTTTTACTTGTTGGTCTTCCTTGAGCTCTTGTAAAACAAATTAAAATAAATCTGCTTCTTCCATAAGGAATTTTCTCCAAATACTTAAAAACAGCCATTTGTACGTACCTGTATTTCCATTTTGGGCCTCTTTCAGAACAAAACTTTCCAGTTCCCCCAATAATTCCTTATATGACATTGTTTCAAGATTTCACATCACGATAGGCATAATAGTTTTGTTAGGCACCATACATAATTTGTTGATATTAAAATGTTATTAAACCAGACAAAATATAGCGACCAGACAACATTTGTAATCTGTAATAGAATACTGTTGTGAGATTATTAACCTTCTTTGGTATGGCCACTATACTTCTGTAATTGTAGCCTAAAATTTTATTTATGTGGGTAGCAAATCTGTCCCTTTTTTACTCATATTCAGCTGAAAGTCAACTAAGCCCTAAGGTTCTCAGGGGATTTTTTTATTTACCAAGCCATCTATATCTTATATTATCTTACTTTATATTTCTGCAGTTGATTTTGTTTTGTTTTTTAATCTTAAATTCAGGTCTTTAGCTACTGCTGAAATTTAATCCTGTTGATTTCAGACCTTATGCAACCACTTACTAGCCATGTGCTTTTGGGCAAATCATTTTATTTTTCTGAGTCAGTTTCCTAATCTGCAAAGTGAGATAATACCTGCCATGCCTAACACATAGTTGGTATGAGAACCAAGTGAAATTTTATGTATAAGCATAAAATACAATTTTATGTGTAAGACTAAAACACTATTATTAAAATTCATTAAATTAAGCACAAGTATGACATGGTAGACTGCTAAATACTTTGAAATCAGTATCATTGTACCTATAGCAATTAGCACAATATTATCTGCAAAATAGCACCTCTGGATCACTTTGCCTTCTATATAATCAATCACCTTGCACAAGACCACCTCCATGATAATGGTGAACACTTTTGTCAAGCATATATTCTTCCTTTTTTTTAAAGGCTACCAGGGTTGAGTTGCCCAATGTCACACACTTAGTAAGTGTCTGAGGTCTGTATTTGAACTCAAGTCCTCCTAACTCCAGGGCCAGTGCTCAATCCACTGTACCACCTAGCTCACCCTATTTTCCTCTTAGCAAAGAGTCTTTCTGAGCGTAATACAGACTTGAAAGACTACTTATTTGAGGAGAGCCATTAATGCAGTGTTTTCTTCCACATAGTGAAATGGGTTAGGATTTGGGGTGTGGAGAAGAGAAAAAAAGTGGATAATCAACAAAATAAGATTTTAGGTTCTTGGTACCTTTCAGTCAAACAGCAAGCATTTATGAGGTGCAATGGTGCTGGGCAATGTGTTAGGTGCTGGAGACACAAATATAAATTATAACAATCCTTACTCTAAATGACCTTACATTAATTATGTAAATGTGGGGTCTGCTGTAGAAAATGGTTTGCCAAAAATCTCCCCAGACCCATCTGAAGTTTTCATCAGCTATCCTAGATATGTTTGTAACATAAAATATAGTATAAAATCTCATTAATTTTTTTAAACTGAGAAAATGACATATGGTTTAGTAGTTACTAATATCTTCTCAAGTTGTCTATTAAAATTACCCATGATTTTTACCATTCTCTTGACTCATCCTCATTGAAATACCTTTGTAGATTAATCCTTCAATGATTTCAAGACTGTTTTGTTTCTAGCATGTATTTCCTTGGTGGGTACTTGATTTAGTCCAGGTGTCCTTCCTGAATTTCATTTTCTCTTAAGTAGTATTTCAGACATATTTGGGAATATGGCATTGTAGTCCAAATGTGGTTCTGTTGTCATTGATTGTAAAACTGATTTATAGAGATGTAGGTATATCTGTTCCATTTTTCATCAGTTTGTTGTTCTGTTAGTTTCATCTTGGGTTAATAATGGCTTAGTTGAGTCCAAGTTCTGTATAGACATATTTTCATTGCCTTTCTCTGTTTTATGAGAGAATGTTTCTAATTTTCCCCAGTCACGTAATTATTATTACAAATGTTTACGTTCTCAATTAGTGTTGCTCCTAGTTCTTTTAGGAGTTCAGTTATTTGTTGGTTAAGTTACTTGCTCTTTTGACCTCCATATTGTGATTATTTTACTTATAATATGTAAGTTTTTACAGCAAATGGTGATCATCAAGATCAATATAATTGACTCTTTCCATTGCTAATTTTGGGGGCATTAGTATTTGAATAGATTGGGTTGAAATTATTGCATTGTACATACTGTCTTATCTGTGTCCTTTGTTCTTATAACTTTGATTTTGACTTTTGCTCCAATGAGTCAACTGCCTGAATACACTAATTCTGATATGACTCCATCATCAATCAGTCACTTAATTCTTTTAAGATAGTCATTTTCAGGGGGGCGGAGCCAAGATGGCAGAGTAAAAGCAGTGACTTGCTTGAGCTCTCCCCCAAACCCCTCCAAATACCTATGCAAAATGACTCTAAACAAGCTCTAAAGCAGCAGAACCCACAAAAAGATAGAGGGAAACAAATTTCCAGCCCAAGACAACCTGGATGGTTGATCGGAAAGGTCTGTGGCGCACTGGGCTGGGAGAGGAGCGCAGTTCGGCATGGGCGTGCAGGCCGCAGCGAACCTGGAGCAGGCCTCAAAGGACTGAATCACGGGCAGCTATGGCAGATTCCAGACTTCTCAACCCATGTACACCAAAGACAACTTAGAAGATCAGTAGGAAAATTTCTGCGGTGGTAAGAAAGAAGCACAGTGGGGTTCCAGCCCCAGTCTCCAAGCGCAACCCTGGGGCGGCTGCCTCCAGAACTTCTGGACCACAGACGGAGGGGGAATCAAGTGACTGATCAGAGGGGGATTGCAGGGATCTCTTTGCCAGTGCTGAGGCAGGAATCTCTTGCTTTGCCTGTGCTTGGATCTGGGTCACAGTTCTGGGTGGTGGTCCTGGGGTGTGGAGGAGTGCTGGCATGGTGGAGTTTGTAGTAGTGGTGGAGAGGAAATCCTCCTTACAGTTCCAAGACAAAAAAAGAGTGCTTATAGACCAGAGCACAGGCCAGGAAAGGAGTAAATACCTCGCCTTTGATCATACCACCTTAGAAGAACTGAAAATTTTCAGGTCACTAGAAGTATCTCTGAGAACAGCTGCACAAAACCCCTGAAGCTTGGGACAGATCATACTCCACAGTGGAAGCAGACTCCTACCTTAACAAAGAGTTTATAAACTCAAGTAATTTGCTGGGATCATGAGCAAGCAGCGCAAAAAGAGTCAGACTATAGAATCTTACTTTGGTGACAAAGAAGATCAAAACATACAACCAGAAGAAGACAACAAAGCCAAAGCTCCTACATCCAAAGCCTCCACGAAAAATATGAATTGGTCCCAGACCATGGAAGAGCTCAAAAAGGATTTTGAGAAGCAAGTAAGAGAAGCAGAGGAAAAACTGAGAGTGATGCTAAAGGTGACCCAAAAAAATACTGAAGAAAATAACACCTTAAAAAATAACCTAACCCAAATGGCAAAAGAGGTCCAAAAAGCCAATGAGGAGAAGGATGCCTTAAAAAGCAAAATTGGCCAAATGGAAAAGGAAGTCCAAAAGCTGACTGAAGAAAATACTTCCTTAAAAATTAGAGTAGAGCAATTGGAAGCTAGTGATAATTTGAGAAATCAAGGCACTGTAAAACTAATCCAAAAGAATGAAAAAAATAGAAGAGAATGTGAAATATCTCATTGGAAAAACAACTGACCTGGAAAATAGATCCAGGAGAGAGAACTTAAAAATTATTGTACTATCTGAAAGCCATAATCAAAAAAAGAACCTAGACATCATCTTTCAAGAAATTATCAGCTCTGATTCTTAAAATCAGGCTACTGCTGATATTCTTACAATCTAGCCACTGGTCAGATTCTTATAATCTAGCCAATAGCTTACTAATGTTCAGACCCCTTAAGAGTCTGCCCAGTATGACTAATAAGGTTCTAATAAACCTTGTCTTTGGCTGAAAGAAGGCTTGGGTCGAATTCTTTTGGGCAGGACCCGTGTGTTGTGATTTTGGGGTCCCAGCACCCCTGAATCCCTAAACTGTGTCATTTTGGTGGCCCGTACGGGGAAACTGCCTAACCCCAAGTTCTTCTCCAGCCAAGACTGGAAGTTATGTAAGCCTCCTCCCTCCCCTCCTTTCTTACTGTACAGCTGGGGTCACTCTCCAAGCACCAAGGCTTGGAGGTGCTTTTCTGGCAGACAGTTATGAGGTTGTCTAACACTGGGCCTGACACTCTCAGGCTCTCGGTCCACTGGGTCAGTTCAAGGCCGTGGACCTGGGTATACCTTCCCCAGCATAGAGGGCAAGGATGGACACCCTATCCGGAAGTGTATCTGTTAATTCCCTTGGCGCTAGGGAATTGGGTTAAACTGCAATTGCTTTTTGGTTCCCTGAGGCTTACTTACTCCCTTCCCTCTGCACCTCTGAATTCTCCTTCATGGAGGTTACAGGGAAAGTTAGAACAGCTAAAAATATCTTGGCATACTCTGGAGGTTTTGTGATTGATCATTAGGGAGTTTTGAAACACCTTTGATTTCATCCTCCCCCACCTGGGAAAGGAAGGAGGGGGGAGGGGCAGCAGCTACAGCATGGGCCTCACTGGCAAAGGCCATGTGTTCTGGGGCAACCTTTGCCTGGAAACATCACCCAGGTTCAGCACATCCTGCTCAAGGTAAAGAAGCTGGCCTCTGAACTTGGGTAAGCAAGCTCTTTTAAATTTGTAGTTTTAACTGTTAACGATGAGATGTTGATTCTCTGTGTAAAGTAATTTGGAAGTGCATTTAACAAAACTAAAGTCACCTGATTGGTAATGGGTTTGCTTCAAGTTTCAAATTGGTGAACTTTCTGTATCAGTTATGTCAAGTAATTTTTTGTAATTTGGCTACCACTAAATTAATTTAGCTATTGTTGGTTATTGTTTTAATGTGTGAACTAGCCATAAAGTTTGTTTGGGTTATGTATGGCTTGCTGAGAATTTGCAAGTATATAGAAATCTCTAATGATTGACTTTTTGTACCAGGACAAATTTAAGTTTGAGATATAAATCTTGGGAAAGTTTTTCCTAAGCTGTGATTAGTAAAACTTGTTGTTTGAGGTAAAAACTCATAGGGTTTTATTTTGAGTTGTCTGATGGGTCATAATCCATCGATAATCAATAATCTACCATCTGAGAGAAATGCCACAAGCTACTCAGAGAAGGTGATACTGGTGGGAAGTCAGCATCGGGGAAAAGCTGAGAGGATAATTTTAGCCTCAGTCTAAGATGGGATCCTCCTGGCTCAGTTTCCCCATTATATTCCTTTGAAAGGGAATGTTACCCACCTGGCTATTCCTGAGTCTGGTTATGAGGTGAATTTGATACTTCATGGTTGGAAAACTGAATTATCTGAATCCAAATAGAGCTAAGGATGTTTTATTCTCTCATTTGGGCCCTAAATTTAGTCCCTGTTTTATATCTGGGACCTGCAGTCTTTTTTGTTAGATTTGTGTCTCCCAGACTACAGGCCAATTCACCTACAATTGGTAGCAAACAGCGAGTACCAGCCAATGTCCCCCATTGTTCCCTGGGTGCCGCCTGTACTTGGTTCTAGTCAACCTCCTCTTTGGGACCCCCTGGAGGCAGGGACAGCTCTACGCCCCTTGCCAGCAGGAAACAGTTTCAGAAGCCAAGACCTTTGCCCCTTACTCCAAAAGAATTTGGGTCCCATTGTTTGAGGGGGGGATGATGGGGTTGGGATCTGGGCCCCAGAAAGGAAAAACCCTGGACTTTCCTACATGGCCAAAACTCTGCCATTTTCCTGAGGCTATAATCCCATCAACTGGCCTTTCATTGTGGACCTCCCTATGGCCCCAAGCCATTTCTCCATTCTCCCTTGGCCATGTAGTCTAGGTCCCTGAAATTCTATTACCTCATAGACTACTTGACTACTCCTAGGTCCCTCCCACAGTCTTTCTGTATATAAGGTCCATCTTGTCTCCATTAAGATGCTCTGATTCTTAAAATCAGGCCACTGCTGAGATTCTTATAATCTAGCCACTGGTCAGATTCTTATAATCTAGCCAATAGCTTACTAATGTTCAGACCCCTTAAGAGTCTGCCCAGTATGACAGATGTTCTAATAAACCTTGTCTTTGGCTGGAAAAAAAAAAGAAATTATCAAGGAAAACTTCCCTGATATTTTAGAACCAGAGGGCAAAATAAAAATGGAAAGAATCCACCGAACACCTCCTGAAAGAGATCCCCAGAGGAAAGCTCCTAGGAATATTGTAGCCAAATTCTAGAGTTCCCAGGTCAAGGAGAAAATACGGCAAGCAGCCAGAAAGAAACAATTCAAGTATTGTGGAAACACAATCAGGATAACACAAGATTTAGCAGCTTCTACATTAAGGGACCACAGGACTTGGAATATAATATTCCAGAGGGCAAAAGAGCTAGGATTACAGCCAAGAATCACCTAGCCAGCAAAACTGAGTATGATCCTTCAGGGGGAACAATGGATATTCAATGAAATAGAGGACCTTCAAGCATTCTTGATGAAAAGACCAGAGCTGAATAGAAAATTTGACTTTCAAATACAAGACTCGAGGGGAACATGAAGAGGTAAACAGGAAAGAGAAATCATAAGAGACTTATTAAGGTTGAACTGTTTACATTCCTTCATGGAAAGATGATATTTGTAACTCATGAGACCTTTGTCAGTATTAGGGTAGTTGGAGGGGGAAAAAATTATATGTGTAGATAGATAGATAGATAGATAGATAGAGGGCACAAGGTGAATTGAAGATGAAGGGGTGATATGTAGAGAATAAAATTAAGGGGTGAGAGAATTATACTGGAAGAAGGAGAAAGGGAGAGGAAGAATGGGGTAAATTATCTGACATAAACAAGAAAAGGCTTTTACAGTGGAGGGGAAATGGGGGGAAGGTGAGAGGGAATGAGTGAATCTTATTCTCATTGGATTTGGCTTAAGGAGAGAATAACATTCAAACTCAATTGTATATGGAAATCTTTCTTACTCTATAGAAAATGGGGTGGGGAGAACAAGGGAGCAGGAGGATAGAGGGGAGGGCAGATTGGGGGAGGGGGTAATCAGAAGCAAACACTTTTAGAGAGGGACAGGGTCAAAAGAGAGAATAGTATAAATCAGGGGCGGGATAGGATGAGGGGAAATATACTTAGTTTTTCACAACGTGACTGCTGTAGAAGTGTTTTGCATGACTACACATGTGTAACCTGTATCAAGTTGCTTGCCTTCTCTATGAGGGTGCGTGGGGAGGAAGGAAGGAAGAAAATTTGGAGCCCAACATTTTAAAAACAAAAGATAAAAAAAAATTTGTTTTCACAAGCAACTGGGAAATAAGATATACAGGAAATGGGGTATAGAAATCTATCCTACCCTACAGGAAAATTGAAGGGGAAGGGGATAAAAGAAGGGGGGGAGAGATAGAAGGGAGGGCAGATTAGGGGTATTCAGAATGCATGCCATTTTGGAATGGGCAGAGGGACGAGATGGGGAGAAGATTTGGAACTCAAAATCTTGTGGAAGTGAATGTTGAAAACTAAAAATAAATAAATTTAAAAAAAAAAGATAGTCATTTTCATTTTGAGGGTGCTGGGCCAGCACTTTCTGAGTATTAAACTTATGGAAGAACATTTTGATAAACTTGAGACTTCTGAGGAGTATACAAGTCTTTGAAATGTGCATTTCTGAAATCTAATGCGTACTTTAAAATTCCTCCATTTTGCTCCATGCCCACCTTCACATGAAGTAACTGAATATCAAAGTATAAGTTGAATTGGTTTGGAGGTTCTTGATAGATTTGCTCCACCTACTCATCCCATGCAACTTACATTAGTACTTGAACTGCAATTATCTTCATGACAATCCTTCTGGTTATGCTCATCATGAGCACTTCAAGAGATGATCTAGTGTCCCTTGAAATATTTTTTGTTACCTCTGGGAACCTGATGAAAGCAATTTCGCCTTGCTGTTGCCTTTCTTCCCAATACTGTACCACTCTTGCTATAGAAAGAGGTTGTACAGAACTGAAGTCAATTTTATTTTTATTTCTTTAATAAATTGCCATGGTCTTGAAAGTTTTTTAAGAGTTATTAAGTTAGTATGTAACCCATCAGGAAAGGAAAATAAGTTTAGTTGGGCTTGATTTGTTTTTCCTCATTCCAGGTTGGCTTTTAGGGATTATTGAATTCTTTTAAAAATGCTTATCCATCTTTTCTTGAGTTCTTCTTCCCAAATCCTACCTCCCCAAAATGGGAAGGATATTTGATCCTCATTTTCTTAGACTGGTCTAACACCAACAATCTGCTGCTATTGATTTACCCTTTTGACTGAAAATATTTTAGAAAAAAGGGCTTGAATTTCCAAATAGACTTTAAGAGTGACATTAGTTGAGGCCTATTGCCTGTCTCTAAAAACTGTTAACAGTTGTTCTCTGATAATAAAAATCCACAGTTTGAGAATCAAAACTAATGCTGCTTCATTTCTATTAGTGGGCAGTGTAATGGTGTTTGTGTTTGAGTGAAATATCGTTAGTGTTTCTAAATAATTTATAGATGAACTTCTTCAAACCTTATAACATGAAAATCCTGTGTGTGTATGTGTGTTTGTACCTGTTCTTTCCAGCATTAAAACATAAGGTCCTTGAGAATAGTTGTATTTGCACATATTAGGTGCTTAATAGATTCATTCTGATATTATTTGTGACCTGATATGACTTATTTACAAAATTTTTCTGCTGTTTCATGAATACATTGTTTTAAATATGGTATAATTAGCCAAGGAACTCTAACATGGTGACTTGTACTTGTGTAAGTTACTTTTTTTCTTTGTATATCTTAATCACAGAAGGAAGAAAAACCCATCTTTCCCTCCTCCCTTATGTATTGCTGTTCATTTTCCTATACTTGACCTTGGGAGCTTTAGCTTGTGACCCTTTATATGACTGACTTAGCTGCTTTTCTGTAGCATAAATATAACAAGAATGAGGAGGGACTGTTGCTGTGTATCCCCCTAAAAGTATAAGACTTCAACAAATGTGCAACCAACTTTGCATTTACCTCCTAAGAGAATGAAAATCTCTTCCTTTTCTTTATCCATATGAATGAATGAATGTAGCAAGCTGAATGATTTCTATAAAGCCTATTTTTCTAACCAGGAAAAATAATTTGGCTTCAGAAGACTTTTAGTCTTGACATATTGATAGAGTAATAAATTCTAGTCACCAGGAATGTGAAGGCAACAAGAGGACAGTCATAGTGGAATAGGAGTGGAGGGAAGCCTCATAGAGAATCTCACCTGTGGTGCTAGGATTTCCACGTTGATGACTTAAGTAGAGTCCTATCCCTCTGCAGGGTGGTTAGGAGCCACACTCACACTGCCACTGATCAAATTAACAAACATTATCTTTGCTGTCCCTGATATCAGCACCATCTCCTTCCTTCTACTCTTCTCCCCACCCATTCCTGATGAACACTAGATTAGTTGGCTCTTGCCAATGCTTCTTCTCCAGGAGGAGGCTAAAAGTTGTCTGGTGTATCAGTGATTAATCAGTGCATTAAAATTTTCTTTTTTTTTTTGTCTGTAGTTATTTTATTTTTATTAATTTATTTTATCAAAAATCACTTCCATAAGCATTTGAGTTTTAAATTTTTCCCCCCTCCTTCCCCACCTCCCTGCCCAAGACAGCACACAATCTGATATAGGCTCTACATATACATTCCTATTAAATATATTTTCACATTAGTGATGTTGTAAGGAAGAATTAGAACCAATAGGAGGAACCACAAGAAAGAGAAAACAAAACAAAATAAAAGAAAAAGAGAGCATATAGTAAGCTTTGATCTGTATTCAAACTCCATAGTTCTTTCTTTGGATATGGATAGCATTTTCCATCATGAGACCTTTGGAGATGTCTTAGATCCTTGCATTGCTGAGAAGGGCTAACTCTGTCAAAGATAGTCATCACACAATGTGTCTATTACCGGGCACAAAGTTCTCCTGGTTCTGCTCACTTTACTCGGCATCAATCCATACAAGTCTTTCCAGGTTTTTCTGAAGTCACCCTGCTCATCATTTCTTATAGCACAGTAGTATTCCATTACATTCATATACCCCAACTTGTTTAGCCATTCCCGAATTGATAGGCATTCCCTCAGTTTCCAATTCTTTGCCACCACAAAAAGAGCTGCTATAAATATTTTTGTACATGTGAGTCCTTTTCCCATTTGTCTGATCTCTTTGGGATACAGCCCTATATTGCTGGGTCAAAGGGTGTGCACATTTTTATAGCCCTTTGGGCTATAGTTCCAAATTGCTCTCCAAAATGGTTGGGTCATTTCATAACTCCACCAACAATCCATTAGTGTTCCAGTTTTCCCACATCTTCTCCAAGATTTATAGAATTTTCTAACAAGCCTTTTGTTTGCATCTTCTTGACCTACCAGTATTCCACAAAACATGATTTTGGAATCATTCCTTTAATTTACAGGGCAGAAATTATTAGGCTGGTAAACTTAAATTTTTGTCCTTATTTAAGAAAATTAGGCTGTTTACATATAGAACTTCAACTAATATAGAAAAGTAGAAAGTTAAAAAGTAGAAAAAACCCAGCAAGTTCTTGAATTGTGCTTCTATTTGGACTTCTATTCTGAAAGTTATTTAAATAATATCCTTTTGTCTTTGTTAAAGCTATATGCACACATAAATGTTTTCTGAAAATAGGCCCTTGGTATAACAAATTCAAGACTACAATATTATTTATTAAAACATCAGTTACACAACTTTCAGTTATTTCTCAAATCTTATCTGCAATTTGGCAAGTACAGAGACTTTTTTTGTGTAGCTTTGTTTTGTTTTAAATACATATTGAGTTAATAATGTCATAAAGTTACTTTATTAACCTATGTGGGGCTGTTTTAAGCTCAGTAAAGGATTGCTTTAATCTCCCTTTGATTTTTTTACTCTATTCCCACCTAACAATTTGTGCACATACATTTCCCTGATTTTTTTCTACCTACCCTACCAAAAAAGGTGTTAATAGTTTTGATATTGTGAACTCATCTGATTTAGGCCCTCCCTGTATTATTGCAATAGGGATTACTTTTATAAGGCTAGCTAAAAGAAACCTTAAAACATAATGACATATTAAGGGTGAGTTTTTTTCCCTTGTCATTCCCTTTTAATATCATCTTTATAAGATAGTTATCTATCCTGTGTCAGGATATCATAAAAGATATTAAAAATAAATCCTAAAAGTATTTTTTATTTTATAGCAAACCACAAATCAGATGCAAACAGATTCTTTATCTCCATCCCCCAATCCTGTGTCACCTGTGCCTTTGAATAACCCAACAAGTGCCCCAAGATTTGGAACAGTGATTCCTAATCGTATCTTCGTTGGAGGAATCGACTTTAAGGTATTTAAAAAATAAGTTTTTCTGTAGTGGGGCTTTTTTTTTTTTTTTTGGTCTTAGAACTTTTGTTTGGCACTTTGTGATTCTGGTTTACTACAGCAATGATACTTATAAACAAATTTGTTAGTCCTTTAATTTCTGCATTTCACTTAATGATCTCCATAATCCTATGAGGTAAATAGGGCAAATGCCTTCACCCCCAATTTACAGAGAAAGAAATTGAGAATTTACCAGTATAGAAAATCATTTTGAGAGGTATGGTAAATTATTTTCAGTGATACAGGTAAAAATATTTCACTACAATGTGAGCTTTCAGAATCTACTATACCAGCTATACCTTTAATATTTGCAATGAAGAGTTATCATGAGGTTTCCCGACATCTTTGAGGGAGCCTCTATGGAAGGATCTAAGTGAAGTCCATATCCTTATATGGCCATTTTCTGAGGCTAATATGGGTTTCAGGCAAAGAGTAGGTAGCAGTAATGACAAAGGTTCTTTTAAACTTCCTTTTCTTAGAAACCTAAAACTTTTCTGTTTCTCCTTTATCTAAATACCTTGTGCATGTTCACCTCATGCTTTTCATTTCTGCCTCTCACTTTTGGTCTGATAGATAGAACTGCATGCTTATTGAAATAAATCATAGGGTCATAAATTTAGAGTTGGAATTGGACCTTAGAGGTCATTTGGTTAAGCCTCTCCCTCCTCATGTTATAGGTAAGGAAATTGAGGTCCAGAAAGTTAAGTGCTTTCCTCAAGGTGACACAGGTGACAGAGGCAGGATTTGAACTCAGGTCTACTGACTTTTAAATTTAGCTTTTTTTCGTACTGTATCACAGCTTGCCAGAGAGTATTGTTTAGGTTATTTTCTTTATTCTAAATTAACTTTGTTCCTGCTGATTTCTGACTGAAGTCAAGGGGGGAGACTAAGATCATCTTTAAGATCTTAGCAATAGTATGCAAAGTTTGATTTCCCCAGCAACTAACATATTGCTTTGTATATACTAGGTACCCCATAAATGTGTTGGTACTTATGAATTGAATAAGTAGAACCTGACTAAAAATAACAACCAGGCTACTTTAGATAGTAGTGGAACAGTGACATCAGAAATTGTCTTGCCACTAACTTTTAGTGCTCAAATTTTCATATATTTATTAAGTAGATAGAGGCCTGTTCCATACGTTATGGAAGCATTTTGAGCTGGGAGAAAAAGAAAGTAATCAGTGCCTATACCTGAAAGTGTTTTACTGGATCTGTTTTTATTTTAAAAATTAAATTGCAGTGGATTCACTTACTGGAATTATTTTGAAGTAATATGACCTGCTCTCTTTAACTGGCTGTTTTGATTTAAAGGAAGTACATGAAAAACCATCATCCTTGGAAATTTAATCAGCAAAAGTTTACAGAGATTGCAAATTTTTGTTCTGAGTTTCAGAATAACTTTATTATTTAACTAAACAAATGTTGATTTAATTATAAAGGTTCCTGGTAGTTTTCTATAACTTTTTTATTAAATTAGCAAAAATAAAACATACTAAATAATTAATCACCTTTTATTAAGTGCTTCAATATACTAGGCACCATGCTAGGTAAGCATTGGGAATACAGAGATAAAAATGAAACAGTCCCTACCCTCAAGAAGCTTATGTTCTGACAAATACAATTATATTGAATTCTGTTGAAACCAAGTCTAGTAATTTATGAGGCCAAGAGAGTGCATTGCTTTGACTTTAAGTTTTAGAATTAAATTGGATATATTCTATATATGTAAATGTAGTATTTCACTGTGACTTAAAACCTTCAAAAGTGAATGAATGAAGTGTTTTCTAGACAACAAAGACAACAAAAAAGAGGTAAACCCTCTAAGAGAGAAACCAACAATTCTAATACCTACTCTGGGGCAAACCCACTGATTGTTTTTACTCAAAGAGATAAGTGTAGAAACTATACGACAATCAGTTATTAAGTGCCTATTATTTTCAAACTGTTAGACACCAGTAATACTAACACAAAATTATATACAGTCCCTCCTCTCAAGGAGCTTACTACTTAGTAGGGGAGATAAAGCAGGCATGCCTATGTAACCATGGTATATATTAGAATGCAAGCACATAGGAAGTATTCAAAGTGCTATGATATGTGTATCTTATGCCTTGCTCCTTCATCCTTTCTGGGCAAAGGGACTGTGTCTCACTTCATTTCTATCACCAGAGGCTACCATGGTGCTTTTGTACATAGTAGAAACTTAATATCTATTTAACTGAAGGAAAGTAGTAAAAAGCAGCATGATTTTGGTGTCAGAGGATTCAATGCAAATCCCACCTCTCAAATTTTATTAGTTCACAATAATTCAATGTCTTACCTTCCTATTAAGGTATATTTTAATTAGTTTAAATAAATAACTGGTTTTATTAACTAGTGATTCTCTAATCCAGGATCCTTTGTACAGACTAAAAATTGGCAGCTAATTTTATAAACATTTTCCTTTTGCTAAAATGTTTTTCTCCAAATAATTTCATCTACTGTTTATGTAACAGAGGTGGGAATGGTGTCATTTATATTGTATCCAAAATAGTCATAAGATTGTTCTGTTAATTTATTTGTTTGAAAAGACTTTCACTTTGTTTTTTGTTTATTTGCTTTTACCCCCATTAGACTAATGAAAATGACTTAAGGAAATTTTTTGCCCAGTATGGGTCTGTGAAAGAAGTGAAGATTGTAAATGACAGAGCTGGAGTGTCAAAAGGGTTAGTATGGTTGTAATTAGTACATGTTCTAAAAATTGACATTAAATTCATATTCTATTCTAAGACTTAAAGCTAAGATTAAAAAGTGTAATGTCTTATTCTTCTGTGTTGGCACCTCCCATTACCATCTGCTTTCTAATTTCATATAGAAATATGATAGGATAATAATATTCCTTATCACGGAAGCCATCCCTAGGTTAGGTCAAGAGAACTAATGGACATTTAAATCCTAGAGTAAACAACTAAGAGTTAGAGATAGTGGCAGAAGTATAAGATATGTAAGTGAAATAATGAAATTTCCACGGGTAAGAATTATTCTTTATTGTCATATTTAATCTTCTTGTCAAAGTTTACTAGTTATCCTGCCTATATCTTCAAGAGACAACTATCTTAATTTTTAGGCATTCATGCTGATTAAATGAATCTGTTTGATTCTCCGCTAAATTACCTGCTACCCAGTCTTCTGTGAATCAGAATTTTATATAATTCACACTTCCATGCATCTAAGGCACAATAGCATCTGATGTTCATAAGAATGACCCTAAGGCACTATAAAGGCACTTTGACTCAGAAGGAATTTAAAAAATTTTACAATGCCTCAAGTTCATTTAAGAAATAGTAAAAAGTGTTCACAGTAATTTTAATATTAAGTACATTTTATACTAATTTATCAAGAGTTAGTGACCAAAGTATAATAATTGTTACCAGAATGTGATTAACTAGGAGACATCAGTATTAAGTACTCGCCCCTGTATGAAATGTTAAGACATTGTCTCTGTCCTTAAGAAGCCTAAATTTAGTAGAGTCAAGACATACAGGGTGTCCCAAAAGTCTTGGTGTGGTTAATATGTTTATTAAGCTTAAAATTGCACCAAGTTTTTGGGACATCCTGTATATGATGCGATTAGAAAAAATTATAATGGATTACATATACAGTCAGTTCAAAGGAATGACTACATATTAAAGGAATTTAGAGAAGGGAAATATTTTAAGCTGGGGTATTTCAGAAAGCTTTGTAAAGAAAAGTGGATCTCCACCGTAGATTTCAAAGGGTAGAATTTAAGTTGACAAAGAATAAGGTGGAGAAAAAATAAGGAAGAGAAAGCAGGATAATTAAAGATATAGAAAACAATAATATTGGACCGTGTGGATGACAGTAACGAGACTGATTTGTCAAGATTCATGTATGTGAGTAGCAAAAAATTTGTTGTTGTTTTTCAGTCATGTCCAATACTTTGTGACCCCATTTAAGGTTTTCTTGGCAAAGATACTGGAGTGGTTTGCCATTGCCTTCTCCAGCTACAGATGAGGAGACTGAGTCAAACAGGGTTAAATGACTTGCCTAGTGTTACACAGCTAGTAAGTGTTTGAGGCTAGATTTGAACTCAGAGCTTCCTAACTAAAGGCCCAGTGCTCCATCCACTATGTCACTAACTGGCCAGAAGGACTTTAGGTTTGCTAAATATGATGGAGACAGATGTTGAAAAGCCTTAAATTATATTTTGAGGAGTTGGGGTTTGATCCATTTTGCATTGGGAAGCTGCCATTTTATATTGAAAACAGGAGTGAAATGAGGTCAGGTGCAATCAACTTACATCATCCTCTTTTTTTCTTCTTGTCATTTACAGTTTATTCATTCTCCCGATATCTTCAGTGACTTTAATACTTGATACAGGATACTGTATTTCTTTTGATAGCATCACTGACCTAGCAGTTACCCAATCAATCAGTCAATAAACATTAAGCTTACTGTGTGCTAGGCATTGTGCTAAGCACTGTAGATACAAAAAGAGGCAAAAGACAATCTTTGCCCTCAAGGATCTTATAACCTATGGGGGAAGACAACATGCAAATATATATTATACACAAAGCAAGCTATATACTGGATAAATAGGAAAAAATTAATTGAGGAAAGGCACCTAGCTGCCTAGGTCACACATTCAAACCCAAGTCCTCTTCAAATCCAGTGTTCTTTCTACTTCACTGGACTATTGTAACAGCTTTCTAATTGGTCTCCTTGACTTCACTCTCTCCTTCACAAAGCTGCCAAAATAATCTTCCTAGTCCATACATCTGACTGTTACTTCCCTACTCAAAAAAACTTAAGTGGTTCCCTGTTGTTTATATAATAAAATATAGGCATATTATGTTAACATTTAAGATCCTCCATAATTCAGCATGCTGTCTCTGTTTCCATGCATTCAGGCAGGCCCATCCCTTCATCTTTACATTTCAGATCCTTTTATTCCTTCAGGGTTTAGTTCAAGTGTTGCTTTCTCTCTGCTACTACTACTAGCTGAAAATTGTCTCTCCCTTGTCAAACTTTTCTAGATCTTTTCTCTATAGTTATCATATTTAACTTATATTATGCTTAACTCAAGTTCCTGCCATATCTCTCCTTCAGCATACTGGCTTTTTGACCAGGACTATATATCATTTTTTCCTTTTTATTTTCAATGCTTAGCACTGTAACTTATGCATAGTAGATAATTAATAAGTTTTTAAATTTTATTTGAATCCAACAACTTAATTACATGATTCTTGACTCTAGTAAATATCATTTATTTTAACTACTTTATCCATTTATCAACTCCAATAATATCTCCAACATACAATAAGTAATGTGAAATTGCATTCTCTGGTCGCAATCTCCTAGCCTACCTCTCCACACTCTTATTTGTTAACACTCTAGGCTTTTATGCTAGCTTTCAGTTCCTTGACATTACTATTCATCCAGTCCATCTCCTCCCATTCACTTGGTTCCATATATAACTTTGATTTCACTACTAACCTGGAATCCCCTGCCTTTTAACACTCCATTACCAGCCTACACATCTTCATCCTTGAGTACTCCCCAGAATCTGATAGCTCTACCTCTGCTCAAGGGAAGGATGGATGGATGGATAGATTTGTTAAACACTTAGTATGTATCAGGCACTGTGCTAAGCACTAAAGATATCAGTGCAAAAGTGAGACAGTTTTAAACCTGAAGATTATATTCAGATAAGAAAAAGTAACTGCTAGCTATCACTGGGAAAAGTCATAAAATCAAACTGATTTCATACATCATAATTTTACATTCAAATGTTCATCGCACACAATATATCATCTAGCTCTGTGACTTTTTCTCGCCTGGAAACCACTCCCAACTCTACTCAGAATCTTTTATTTCCTTCAAAATTAAGAGTGAAGCACCACCTTTAATATATGTTTCCCCCAGCTGTTGGTTCCTTCCCTTCAAAATTCCCTTCTGTCTATTTTGTAATTGCTCATCAATGTACCTACTGTCTTCCCCAGTAGGATGTAAGCTTCTTCAAGGCAAGGACTGTTTGCTTTTTGTGTTTCTATCCTCACTGCTTAACACAGTGCTTGGTTCATAGATCCACTCACGTTACTTTTTTCTAAAAACTCTTCAATGGCTCCCTATTTCTCCCTAAATAAAATTCACATTCCACTGTTTGATACTATCCTACTTCATCTCCTATTACTCCTTCACACCCTATACTCCTGACAAATCAGATAATTCTTTTCCCCCTAAATGTACATTGGGCTCTCATGCCTCTCTTTTGCCAAAGCCACTCTCTATGCCTAGAATGTCTACTCTTATCATTTGTTGAATTCCTACTCATCATTTAAAACCCAACTCAGATGCCACCTCATTGTTTATAAAAAGCTGTCCCTGATTCCCACCCCCCACTCCTGAGTTGCTGATAACTTTCACCCAGACTTCATGTAGCACCTTGTTTTATAATTACCTAATGCACTAAGTTCTAATACACAATATTACATGTTACGTGTTGATATGTTACTTTTCTTTACTTTATAAGTTCCGTGAAAGCAGGAACTGTGTCTTGTCTCAACTTCTCTTCACAGTGGGTACTCAGGAAATGTTATATTTTATTCCTCAACTATATTGAATAGCAGAGCGCTTATTAAACATTTTATATAATTTTAAAACACATGGAATTATAAATCCTTTTTCTATCTGATATACATTTTATATTCAAAATATCAGACTAAAGAAATTTGATGGATCTACTAGAATAAAAAAAGATAAAAGCCTTTATCTAAAAATAACCACCATATGAGAGACAGGTCTTGAAACTAGGTCTTCCTGACTCCAAGGCCAGTTCTTTATCCTCTATGCCACTCTTATGTGTCTTGAAATAGCTTAATGTGATCCATGTTCTCTGAAGAATCATAATTAAAATGAGAATTATGTACTACAAGTGCACATAAAATTTTTATTTGATTTATGCTTCATCAGTAGTTTCCTGGGAAAACACATTATGCTTAATTGCCCCACTAATGCGTTTACTTATTACCGGCATAAATGCTATACTCTAGTTTTTTTAATAAAAAATGTTTAAGATTTAAGATTGCTATTTTGAGTCCATATTCAGATAAGTTGTTGTTGTGGTTCAGTCATTTTTCAGTTGTATCCAACTCTTCATGACCCCATTTAGGGTTTTCCTGGCAAAGATACTGAAGTAGTTTACCATTTCTTTCTCCAGCTCATTTTACAGATGAGGAAACTGAGGCAAACAGGATTAAGTGACTTGCCCAGATTCATATATCTACTAAGTGGCCAGATTTGAACTCAGAAAGATGAGTCTTCCTGATTTTTGGACCAGCACTCTATCCACTGTACCACCCTGCTGCTTCAAATTACTTTGAATAGGCCCCTAAGTGGGATAAATAACAGTGGTGCACTGCAGTGTGTTGTTATCTATATTGACATGATGTGAAAATAGCAGAATGGTCTACATCAGTTTTAAAGGGAGCTTATTTTCTTGGACCCAAAATCCAGCAACTCAACGAAATAGCAATTTATGTAACAGAAAGTAGTTCTGTAAGGCTGTCCTGACTGGTATCCCAGACTTACGCTGATAATATCTCAGGGTCTTTGAAGGAGCTACCACTTTAACCCATAGCTCCAGAAATTTATCGAGGAAGAACATGAAGGTTAGAATACTAAGCTGCCAATAATTGATCCAGCTTCTCTCTCAGCATGATGCAGTGGTTTTGGTTTTGGGGTTTTTTTAATCATGCCAATCTCTATTTTATTCTTTAAAAAAAATTTTGACCTCAAATACGCCAGAAAAGAAAATAATTAATGTATTTTATTTAGGTATGGTTTCATCACTTTTGAAACACAAGAAGATGCACAAAAGATTTTGCAAGAGGTAAGGCATTTCTATCTATGTAACATATTTTATATATTTATATATTCATTTAATTTTATATTATTTTTCAGTTAATTGAAAATCTGCTTTCTCTCCCTTTCACCTTGCCTGCATTGAAAAAGAAATAAAAACAAAATCTTTGTAACATATCTGTAGAGCCAAACAAAACAATTTTTTGCATTGGCCATGTCCCCCCAAAAAAATAGGTGTCTTCAATATACACTCAATATATACTCAATATACACATCCATCACCTCTCTGTCAGGAGGTGAGTAACATATTTCATCATGTGTGCTCTGGAATTTTGGTTGACCACTGTATTTATTGATCAGGGATCTTGAATTTTTGAAAGTTATTGGTCTTTCCAATATCATTGTTATTGTATAAATTTTTCTCCTGATTCTGCTCACTTTGTATCATTTCATACAAGTCTTCCCTGTTGTATCTAGAACCTTCCCTTTACCATTTCTTACAGCACAATATTCCCTCATATTCACATACTATATAACTTATTCAGACATCCTGCAATTGATGGGCACCCCCTCAATTTCCAGTTCTTTGACATAAAAAAGAGCTATATATTTATTTTTGTACATGACTTCTCTATCTTTGCTTTTTTGGGGATATAGATCTAGTAGTGGTATTGCTGGCCGAAAGGTATGATAATAAATTAGGCAACTAGGTGTGTAGGAAGATAGGGTGTTGGACTTGGAGTTAAGAAGACTTGAGTTCAGATTCCACCTCAGACACTTAATAGCTCTGTGACCCTGGACAAGTAACTTAATATCTCTGAGCCTCAATTGCCTTACCTATAAAACAGGATGGGATAATAGTACCTACCTCATAAAGTTGTCATGAGAATCAAATGAGACAACACTTTGCAAACCTTAAACCACTATATAACTGCTGGCTATTATTACTGTTAACATTATTACAATTATTATTACTTTTATTGTTAGTTGGACCAATTATTACAATTATTTTTACTATTATTATTAGTTGGATCAGTTCATAGCTTCACAAGCAATGCATTAATGTACTTGTTTTCCCACAGCCTCTCTAACATTTATCATTTTCTGTTTTTAATTTGCATTTCTCCAATTATTAGTAACTTAGAGCATTTTTTCATGTGACTATTGAGAGTTTGGATTTCTTCCTCTGAAAACTGCCTGTTCATATCCTTTGATCATTTATCAATTGGGGAGTGGCTCTTATTCTTTAGAAATGAAACCTTAGAGAAACTGGCTGCAATGATTTTTTTAAGCTTCTTTCATAATTTTAAATATATTGGTTTTGTTTGTTCAAAAACTTTATAATTTTGTGTGATCAAAGTTGTCCATTTTACCTTCAATGACTCTCTTTTCCTTGTTTGGTCATGAACTCTTCATTTAACTTTATTTTTGAAACTCTGTGAATTGATATTATGTAAAGCACTCCTTTTAATATAGTTCAGTATAATTGATATTATAATTTATTCTTAAGTGTAAAGTGTTCTCATCTTCAATAGTAATTTTTCTGTTTACAAAAAATTTGAAACAAAAACATTCCAATTAAATAAAAATTTTTTATTTGCAAGAGCTCCAAAAATTTAGTTTGTACGGATTTTTAGCAATTCTTCATAGATAATTTTTCCCTTAATTTAGGTTAACAGAAGAAGAATTTGGGGTCTTCATGTCTTTTAGCGTTAATGATATATTTGATTCCTACAAAACAGAACAAGCATAGGATCCCAAAATTAGAAGGTACCTCACTGTCAGTCATCTTGTGTGTCCTGCTGCGTCCAAGCAGGACTTTATTTAAACCCTACTGCTGACATTATTCTTTAAAAGACTTAGAGGGACTTTGAACCTGCAGTCTGGTGTTTTAACTTTGTTTTAGTAAATATATTATTTACCTTAAAATACTAAATGCCCTGTTATCAACACAAAAACATTTCTTTTTGCCACTATGAGTGTTCCTGAAGATCAGAATCATTTTCAGAGTGGCTCAGAAAGTACACTTTAAAAAATCTTTAGTTTATGGAATTGTGCTATCGTTACTTCTGACCCTGATTATATTTTTCCAGAATTATATACCATAAAATAAAAAGATTGACTATTTAAACTGTGTAAGTGGAGCCTAACTCCAATCTTTCTTTAGGTTAGTATTTGGGGGAAAGCTATAATTTTAACCATTGGAGATTATTATATGGCAACTTGTAAAAGATCCCATGAAAAATTTAATTCCCAGCATCCTTGTATTAGGAAAGGAAAAAAACAAACAACTTTAATGCTAAAAAATAACTTCGTTTTTAACCAAGCTTGTGATATAGTTTTTCAGCGTATTGATAATAGACATAATGTTCTGTAGTGTTTTGAAGAAGTTTTCTTTTTTTCTTTTATCAGTGTGTGTGTTTGGTTTTTTCATTACTTAACAAGTATAGGGTTTTTTCCACGTGCTGATTATGAGGGACTTTTAAAAAAAAAAAAGTTTTTTAGTGTTCAGGAAGATTTCACATAGCTTATGAAGGATATCACAAACTAAAAGTTTGTATTAGTTTTATAGATGACTGGCAAAAGGAAGGGAAATTGAAGTGCTTTTTTTCCCCTTTATTTTAGGCAGAGAAACTTAATTATAAGGATAAGAAACTGAATATCGGTCCAGCAATAAGAAAACAACAAGTAGGGATCCCTCGTATGTATTATTATAAATTTTTTTACTATCTTGATACTGCTATTTTAAAATTGAGTATTCTATTGAAATTTGTTAAAATGCCAGATATCTTTCACTTCATAAAAATTCATCTAACTGCAAATTTTAAGTGAACATCTTTTCCTATTTATAACATTGAAATTTTTTCTAGGGGCAGCAGTTCATAATAAGATGTAATAAAAATTATGCTTGAGCATACAATAAACTTTATATGTTTACAAATAAAATAACAAGTTTTATAATACTCTGTATATTTTTAAATGACCTGCTACACACTCAGTCAGAATACCATGTGATGTCAAACAGTGCCAAAGCTTCATAAATTTGCCTAAGTTATTCATGAAAATCAGAGAATTGGTTGGATGGGATTTTAAAGGCAGGTTTCTAATCTAATCACTTCATTTTACAAATGTCAGAACTAGGGTCCAGAAAAGCTAATTTACTCATTGCCACACAGCCAATTATGGGCTCAGCTGGACTAGAATCAGTATCTCCTAACCTCCTGTTCATTCTAGTACACCACAATATTTGTCATGATAATGCTTTAGTATATGAAAAAAAAATAGAAACTGACCAGCCTCAAACTTCTATAACACTTTCAACTTGACATCAAGTGTTATTTTTACTTTTTAAAAACTTTCCTTATCCCTTAAGTTTTATTTTTTTACAAATGCCTTTATCCTGTAATACCCATATTATTTGTTATGGTATCTTTAGATAGGATGAAAAATATTATATAAAGTAAAAGATTGAAATGTTTAATTATTACTTAGTAATGGAGGCTTACTGTGATATATCATAACTTGCTAATCATCTGACAGAATATTAGATTGTTTATACCATTCCATTTTTAGTTTGCTGAATTTAATTGATAACCAGCCTTATTAGCCAGTCTTTAACACATTACAATGTCATGTGTTGTTTGACAAAATGCTAACTCTTGTCACGAAATAACCAGTTGTTGGAGTTTAATTGTAAAACAATACTATATAAAACCATACTATACAAAAATCATATATATATAGTATGATCACATTTCACCTGATAATAGCAATACAAACTAGATGGTATGAAGGGGACTTCTTTCTTCTCTCCTACCTCTTTCTCCCTCTCCCCCTGCTGCCCACCCACCAAAAAAAAATTCTGTAAGCCGGGGTTGGGAGAGTGGGGTGGGGAAAAGAGGCATTGTTTACTGTGTAACTTAATTGGACTGAAAGTAATTAATTGAATATCTCTTACATGAGAGATACAGATTACAATATTCCTGGACCATTTTAATAGTATTTCAAGTGTTGAGTATGAAGTGGTTTCAAGAGGAAACCTAATATTAGACTTAACTGGAGCATAAATAATAACTATCATATTTTCTGGCTTAAAAATTTAAAGACAACCATACTAGTAAACTCTATGTCTTTGATTAGCCCTTTTTTTCCTATTAACTTCTTCTGAACTGAGTTCTCTTCTTTTCTGCTGTTGCAGTTCACTCTCATGGGGAGGTAGGCTTCTGGTTTTAGCAACCATTTGTTAACATATGACATCTAGATCAAGATATCTTAACCTCTCTAATATTAAGCCTTCTCTAATGTCCTGATGAGATCAGAACAAAGGACATTACCTTTTCTCCTAATACACTTTTCTACAGTAGCCTTTATTTTTTGATGCTTAGTATTTAGCCTTACTATAAACCAACAACTTAGGGAAAATACTAAGATTATGTTGTATGATTATCTTTATTCATCATAGAATAAGATTTTTTTCTTTATATTTTTAAAAAATTGATCCTAGAAAAGAAAATTTTTTTCTTTGCACTATTTTCAAGACATGAAATTACATAATTTCTTATCACCCAGGCATCCACCAGAGTAAACCACTGGTGAATGGTTAGGTGCCTTCCAGATTTAGCACTCATGGATGGTTGAATGTTACATTCTGTTTTGGAGTCTCATTGGGATAAAAAAATCAGTTGGAAGGAGTTCCATTCTGGGGCAGCTTCCAGGACAGACAATCCCTGATGAGCCTAGTGAACTGGTTTTGAGGGCCTGCAGCTATTCTGGTTGTCTTGAACATATTAATATGGCCCAGGTATTCGAGATTTCTTTTAAACATAATAGAACCCCTGAAGTCATGGGTTAAGTAAGGCGAAAAATGTAAAAATGCCTTACCTTTCTGTTAATTCTTTAGAAATTTTAGAGAAGTTAGAAAGCTTGCCATGTATAATCTCAATAAAGCTAAAAATCCTGATTTTCAATATGGTTATCAAAGAATGATGTAAAGCTTATTTTTAAAGGTATTCTTGGAATCTTATTTCTGTCCCTTAAGGCAAGTAAAATTATTTGCCTAATTGCCCTTAGTAGTGAATGTCAGTTTATAAAAATTGGGCCATGATAACTTCTTAAAGTCTAAGCAGAGTTTTTTTTAAAGGTGTATTAAGTCTAACATGGCTTCCAAAAGTTGCAGTTTGGGTAAACAAAACAATAACTTTGGTTTTAATGTAGGAGGTATATATTTTATAATATAATATATTTATATTTTTGTATTTTATATTATTCATATTTATTACATTTTTGTATGTTTGTATATTTATAGTTTATGTTCATATTTATTTTATATTATATAAATTTTAAAATTACATTTAATATATTATACATTTATATTATATATAATGTATTATAATATATAATAGCCAATACTGTATATAATATTATGATAATATATATTATCATATAAGTAATACATTATATATTTATATAATATATATTTATTTATATTTAACGTAATGATATAATACTGTTTGCTTTAGGTTCCAGTATAATGCCAGCAGCTGGAACAATGTATCTGACTACTTCAACTGGCTATCCTTACACCTACCATAATGGTGTTGCATATTTTCATACTCCTGAGGTAGCTTCTGTTCCACCACCTTGGCCTGTAAGTAATTTAAGTTCAGGAAAGTTTATTTTCAATACATTTTTAAATCTTTCTTGAAAATAGAGCAACTTTATTTCGCCTTTATATGGAAATCTTTCCCCTGCTCAAAACCTAGCAGTAACTACTACCTAGTACTTCTTTAAGGGGGGGGGACCGAGGAGGGGTGGGGGACTTCTTAGCTTAGCACAGTGTTATTTCATACTATTTCCTCCATGTACTCAATAATATATTATTCACTGTTCTCTTACCTACTTCTGTGTTCACACTATTCCCCAAACCTGGAACACCCCAACCTCCATTTTTCAAACTCATGCACACATATCTGCCTCTATTGGAGATAATTTTCTAACTTTAAGACCCAGTTCAGGTGCTACTTGATTTACAAAGTTGTCACCGATCCCATCCCCCAGGTAGAAGTGATCCTTCCCTTCCTGGATCTCTATTGTCATGCTGTTTGACCTCTCATATCATAGTCTGACTTGTATCAGAGTTATTCATGTTATGTGTCATCTCCCAATTAGATCCCAGGCTCATGGAGGGCAAGGATGGTATCTTTTTTCATCTTTGTATCCCTAGTACCTAGAATAATGCTATCTAGTACTTGTCATTCAGTTTAATAGACACTTACCTTGTATTAATTTGTATTAAGGAGAAAGGACTCAGGAATAGCATTATACCCTATAGGTTTGATACTGATTATTACCAAATTTCCATAATTTATGGTAACAATCTAGACTCTTAGTTGGATGTAGTACCTGCTTTAATGTGTCACAGGCTCTTCTTTTGAAGTAGTATCATATTAGATACTATTCAAAATACATTTGAAGTGTATATAATACACTTTTGAACAGAACTTCTAGAAAAGCGATGGGGAACTGCTCTTCTATAAAGAACCACACCCCCCTATAAAGGATTGAGGGCCACACCCATTTTTTTTTTAAATTTAGTAAGTTTATAGGTTTGAGATGTTTGTGGGATTTTTTGTTTGTTTTTAAAAGGGACAGTGTAATTTAGTTTTAAATTAAGAACTAAGAAACAAAAAAAATGTTCAACAGATGTTTAAGAATATATTTTATTTATATGTTATGGTGAGTTAAGGTCCAGGGGAGTTATAAAGGGAACATGGGCAGGAAGAATTAAGGAGGGATGGAAATGTAACTGACAGAAGCTGGTGAGAATGTATTTTTCTGGTGTCTTGTAAATCTACTCAAAAGGACCTTAAAAAGGAAAGGGGAGGAAGAAAATTGCCTTTGTATATCCACCAAGCTAAATATCATAAAGATTAACTATAATGTAGGAAGGCTACTTATTGAAATACCCAAAAGTTCGTAAGAAATAAAATTAAAGAAAAGCTTCATGAGTAAAAGCACATGGCCTAAAATGACTGTATGCAAAAAGTTTAGGCAACAGGCAAGATGAACTGAGTAGCCCAATGTAAGGAAGTCAGTTCAGTCTCAAAAGTATTACTGAGACTTGGTGAAATGAGACCTAAGACTGGAATATGGGTTTTGGTGGCATATCTTATTAAAAAGAAACAGGATTGGAGGTGAACTATAGAACAGATTACCTAGACAGAGAGAAGAAATAGATTACAAGTCTGACTCAAAAGTAGTGGTAGGTGACTTAAGTTATCTAGATACTTGCTATAGCAACTTCTTGATGTGCCATAATGATAATTTCATTCTTCAAAAAGTGGGGGGGACCAACAAGGTAGCTTCTGTTCTTAATTTGATTCTTAATAATAGGAAGGAGCCGGTTGCTGAGGTAAAAATGCTGGGAGCTTTGGAGGAAATTAACTACTACTTCTTAGTGCTTGTGTTCAATAAGGAAAAAAAAAGCTGGACATAGTATGACATGTAGCCTATTGAGAGGTCGGATTTCAAAGAGTTCATATGAAAGATATGTAAAATCCAGTTGACTGAGATGCAATGGGAGAGGTCTCAGGAGGGGTAATAAGCTCTTAAAAATGAAACTCCAAAAACACAAAGCAAAACAATTCCAATGAAGAACAGAAATAGAAATTGTCAGGAGATCAGTGTGGTTGCACAGAAGACTCACCAACCAACTTAAGTTACTAAATTGTAAAGGTATAAAAGGTGGAAGCAAGGATAGATAATAATATGAATACAAAAGCATAGCATGGTGCTTTGAAAATAACATCAGAGATCAAGTTCTAAATGAGCTTGGTTGACAATAGGGTTTTGGAGTTTGGGGGTTTTTTTTAGCTATTTGTGGGGAAAAGTGGAGACTCGAAGCAAGAGTATGATAACTATTTGAGGCAAATGGGACAATGGTAGAAAAGTAGAACAGTCATTAATGGTTTGGCAGCTTGGTAGGAGGTCTTAAGTGTCATGCCCCAGGGATCTGTTTTTTGCCCTTGCTAGTTAGCATTGTCATTGACTTGCATAAAGGCATAGATGACATATTTGCTACATCTGCAGATGAGCCAAAGCTAGACAGGCTAGCTAAGGTCTTGACAGTCTAGAACAGGAGTTGATAATCTACAGGGGAGAGCCAAAGATAGCCAACTGGGACTGCCTGCAAACGAAAAATTGTGTTTAGTAGTATTTATGAGTTTTAAATAAATGAAACTTTATTTTAAAATGTAAACAACATTCTTAGCTCAGTTACAGGTGGGCATTTGGCCCTTGGACTCTATTTGCTAATTCCTGGGTTTAAAAACATTGGTCCAAATCCAGTAAGATGAAATATGATAAGGACAAATGTGTACAGTGTTACATTTGGGTTCAATAAATCTACTTTGCTGTAATTCACACTAATCAGAACCTAGCTGTAGAAGGTAAAAGAGGCCTGTTTAGACAGCATTTTATCTTTTTAAAAAATAGATAGAGATTTTGGGGGGAGGAGGGTGGTAGAGGGTAATGGACTCCAAGCTTAATAGAAGTGAACAGGTTGCTATAGCTATCAAATTCTTCATAACCTTCAGGAATTAGGAGATGATAGTCCCACTGTTCTCTGACCTAATTAAACTACATCTCATCTTGAGTGTTGTATTACATCTTAGACATCACATTTTAGGAAGGACATAGTTAAACTCAAAAGGATCCAGAGTAGAGCAACCTAGATGGAAAAGGGCCTCAAGTCCATTACATATGAGAATCAGTTGGCAGAACTGGGATCGTTCAGTTTGGAGAAAGAAGACTCAAGGGGAGCCTGATAACTGTTACCAAGTTTTGAAAAAGCTGCAGTATACAAGGAAGGATTAGATTTGTTCTGTTTGGCCCCAGATGGCAGAACCAGGATCAATGGTAGAAGGTGCAAAGAGGCAAATTTAGGCTTAATGACAGGGGAAAAAATACTAAGTTAAAACTTTACCCTAAAAGGAATGGTTTTCCTTGAAATATTGCTGGTTCCTGCTCATTAGAATTCTTCAAAACACTTGACACTTACTAGCTGTGTGACCCTGGGCAAGTCACTTAACCCCAATTGCCTTTAAAAAAAAAAAAAAAGAATTCTTCAAGCAAAGGCTAGATGAGTGTTATCAAGTATGTTGTAGCAGGGATTCATTTTTCAAGAATGATTTGGACTGGGGCAGCTAGGTGCCACAGTGGATAGAGCACTGATCCTGGAATCAGGAGGGCCTGAGTTCAAATGCGGCCTCAGACACATAATGCTTTCTAGTTGTATGACTCAGGGCAAGTCACTTAACTCCAATTGCCTCAGCAAAAATACATCATCATAATAATAATAAAAAGAATGAATTGGACTCCATGGCTCCTGGAGTCCTTTTGAAGGCTGAAATTTTGTGACTCTCTGGTAAGGCAAAAATTGACTAGAATAAGATCGACATCTTTATCATGTTTCATTTTGGGATGATTTTGCCTGAGATGTTTTTCTCAAATTTTATGTTTTTCTTCTCTTTTAGTCACGTTCTATATCTAGTTCCCCTGTGATGGTAGCTCAACCTGTTTATCAGCAACCTGCATATCATTATCAGGTAAAAATTAATAGAGGATTGTGTTACTGCTAAAATATTATTTTGTAATTGATTCCTGTTTTCGGTTTTATTTAACACCTTCTTGTGAACCATTCTGAGAAAAAATGGCTCAGACTTCCCTCAGAACATAATCAGAATGGCTATTTTTGTTCCTTTTATTACACAGATCTTATACTAGATTCTTCCTTTTTGAGAGAATGTGGTAGTGTTAATCAGAAAGCAGAAAATTAATTCTTCCCCTGTTATTAAAAATGTAAAAATTAAGCTAAGAAGTCTTATTTTAGTAATTCCAGGAGCTAATAATGATCTTCCTAATAATAACCAGGATTTGAGTACCAGTTTTGACATAGGTTGTCTGTATAACTAGGGTTAAGTCACTTACGCTCCCTGAACATCAGCTTCCTTGCCTGTGAAAGGGGAATAATAATACTTACCTTGAAAGGTGGTTCTGAGAAAAGCATAAGTACTTTAAAATTTACTGTGTGAGTTGCTGTTATTATTACAGAGTATAGTCTAAAAAGTTGCCTATAAATTGAATTTCTTTATCAAGACATTTTTCTTTTGTCTTTAATTTCAAAAATAGAGATGTATTCCTTTGGGGGAAAAATTTGCCCTCCAGAAATAACTCAACATTTCAGAATGCTGGAAGCCTTTTAAAATAACATATTTAAAGAAAAATATACATTTTTATGACTGTATTTACTGGCAACTCCTTCAAATTGTCACTGTTTAGAATTTTCCTTTGCTACTTCAAAGAGCAAGGTTGAAACTGCTCTTCAGTGGTGTGGTTGAAAGGCATAGAATAGAAGATAGCTAATGGATTTGATCAGCATTTCCTAGTTGATAATCAGAGTAGTGCCTCATTTATCTTTCAAATCTTATACATGTCATGTTTTTTGTCTTTTAACCATTTGTTACAGAAAATCTTTCTAAACTATGTCATCTGCCACTTTGCCTTCTAAACCACAGTAGGCTGAATATAGTTTAATCTGCTTTCGTTATAATCCAGAGGTTGATATTTTGAATAATATTTATTGTATTGTAATATAAAGATGTTGTAGTCACCAAGTCACTGGCAACTAGGTATAGAGCACTGGGCCTGGAGTCAGGAAAATAAGTTCATATCTGGCCTCCAACACTTACTAGCTGTGTGACCCTGGGCGCAAATCAGCTTCAATTCTGTTTCCCTCAGTTTCTTCATCTGTAAAATGGGAATAATAATAGCACCTACACCTACCTCACAGGGTTGTTGTAAGGTTCAAATGAAATAATATTTATAAAGTGCTTAGCACAATACCTAGCACATAGAAGGTGATGTTTAAATGTTAGTTGTTGTTATCAGTATCAGAAGTTATTAAGATGCCTATAGGGTTGTTTGCCCCTAATTGCTGTACTTTTCTAGTTCTTGTAGATTACTCTACTTCCCTGACTTAACCATTTTTATTTTTTTCTGGTTCCTTTCTTCCTCCCACTTCCTGAATGTGAGCATTTTTCCAAGAGTTTGTCCCCAGTCCTCTTCTCTTACCACTTTAAATTCTCCCTTACAAGTCTTATCCCATAGGATAGAGGTCAAGGAGGATAAAGACTTAAGAAAGGTTATTAGATTTAGTGGTCAGTAGGTCATTGACTTTTGAGAGAATAGTTTCAGTGGGTTTGTGGGGATGGAAGCCAGATTACAAATGCGTAGGAAGAAAGTAGAATCTTCGAGTATAGGTGAATTTGCCTTGAAAAATTTGCCCAAGATTTGAGTACAGGAGCTTGGAAGAAGGTGAATTGCTCAAGGACTGTGTAAGTTTCTTTTAGGATAGTGGATATCTGAGCATGTTTAAGAATAAAAAAGAAAAAGAAGATAGAACTCAGAGGGGTTAGAAGTTAGTTAGAAGAGTTAAGAGAGTGAAATAATTGATGATTCAAGGTTCTGCAGAAGGTAGAATGGTATATAATCAACTACTCCTGACCTCAACTTCCACCAGATACTTTTCACTAATGTTTCTTTTCTCTAATAGTATCTCCAAAGTAATTTCAGGGTACCTTGCTAACTGATCTTAGGGACTGCTGATTTTCTAAAATAGAAATTTAATAATTCTCATTTCTCCAAGCCCCATTGCATTCATAAATGCCCTTCTTAAATTAAATCTTAAATCATTTCAAAGCCATACTTACTATACCAGGATATAACAGGATGACAGTGAGAGAACATCCATAAAACCTAATCTTGACCTATCCCCTGTAGTTCCTGGTTTTCAACTTCCCTAATAAAGGGAATGCCAGGTGACTCATTATATATACTTATTCTAATACGGAAGGAGGGACCCCAAATTAGGATTTAGGTTTGTTCTGTGAAGTTTGGATTCAGTCAAAGTGACTGACTTGAGGACCTACAGAGCCACATGTGGCCTTGAGGCCACCCCTGTAGAAACCACTAGTTGTATAATAGGTGACATTTTATTAAAAGAATAATATGACACTTATGTCCTTTAAAGGTTCACATCTCTTAAATATGTTTCAAAGTTCACTAGCTGCTTTTTATTATTTTCTTGTTTTCATTCTTTTTCCAACCTTTTGTTTACTTTTTTGTGTTTGAATGATAGTCTTTAAAAAATATATAGCTTTAGTTATGTTTCCAATGACTTCTTCCCCCCGCCCCCGCTTCCCAGCTATCTCTTCCTATTGGCACTTTACCTTATCTGACTTTAACTTTACTTTATCTCCTTGTATAATTTTTCCATCCTTTCAACTTTTCCTTGACTTAAGCCCATAACATATTAATAGTAAACAAATTGTCTAAACAATTCCCTCAAAAATGTGAAACAGAAGTGTAGGCACAGACGCTAAGTAGTAGGAGTAGGAGTAGTAGGAATAGTACTGTTGGTAGTTCTGTAGAGTAGTAGAGTACTGTCAGTACTACTATTCCTACTTCTAATAAGAATGTACATTAACCATAATTCTGACACCAAACCAAGTCCCACTAAGCCACAAAAATTAAAGTAATAGTGTGCTTAGCCATATTAGACCTGAGGACCACTGCCTTCACATATAACTAAAAAAAAAGAAGATATGTGGGCCTCCTGACTAATTGATGTTATGTTTTACCAATCCTTTCCTCTGTTCTTTTGTTCTTCCATTTATTTCCTTCCTCCAATTCTTTTCTTGCCTACTTTATTCCTAGGTACAATTTTCTACCTTTACCAAGTGCTTTAATTTTTAAACATCAGAGATCTTAATTGTAGTTGGGTTTTTATGTTTTATTCTGCTGTCATATAGAAGTTTACTCTCTGTGCCTTTATGCTTAGGAACAACTATTTCATTTTTTTAAATGTATTAGATTCATAAGGGGAAGGAAATTGACATTTATATAGCACCAACTATGTGCTAGGCATTGTCCTAAGATCTTTTTACAAATATCACATTTGATCCTCACAATAACCTTCCAAGGTAGGTAGTTATTCCCATTTTACAGTTGAGGAAACTGAGGCAAAGAGATTACGTGACTTGCCCAGTCACACAGCCAATAAGTATCTGAGGCCTCACTGGAACTCATGTCTTCCTGACTGCAGGCCCAGTGCTTTATCTACTGAGCCACCAGGTGCCTCTTAAGCTTGTAAGTGTATTTCTGATTAAGACAAATATCCTCACCATTGTAAAGTCATGAAATTGGTGGTAGTTTAAAGTGGCACTGATGTTAATGTTCTTTGATTATAAACAACAGCAACTACATAGGACGTTGCTAATATTTTACATTTTAATCTTCTTTAAAAGTCACATCATTACTAAGAAATTTTGACTAAATTTCTGGCTTGAAATTGAAATTTTTAGACAAACACCTTGAAAATATATATATATATATATATATATATATTTTAACCTTGTTTTTAGTATGTTTTTTTTCTTTTTTTATCTTAGGCACCTGCACAATGTCTTCCAGGACAGTGGCAGTGGGGAGTCCCCCAGGTGATAGCAATAACCTTAAGTACTTGATTATGAATTTTTTTTAAAAAAAAAGTGATTACTGCTGAAGAAGGTTAGGCATTAATTCAGCACCTTTTAAAGTTAGATTTTGTCTCTATTTTATTTATATTTAAAAAATCAGTTGCTCCTTGTGGGTAGCATGTATGTACAAAATATAATTAAATTGCTTGTCCACACTTGCTTGGGGAAGCCAGTCATCCACCTAAACACTTAATGTACAATAGATCAAGAGGTGCTCTTGGTATATGTGTTCATCTTAATTCAAATAAAAAGGTTAATAGACCAAGGCACAGGGAAGTTCAGTGTTTTCCCCAGGATCACTGAATTATTTAGTGGGATACCCACATTTAGAATTTTTATTACCTGAATTTTATTACTTTCTAGTCTTTTAATTCTGTAATCTTCTATATTGCTCCAGAAGAACAAGTTGTTAACATGAGTTTCAATTTTCCGTGATGCTCTCATATGTGAAATAAAGACTGCTCTTAGCTGTTTTGCTACAGTCATTCCTGCCTTCCTGCAAACCATAACTTCTTCCAATACAAGGACTTCCCTGATCCATCCAATTATTCTCATTCTCTCTCTTGAAATTTTTTTTTATTTTACTTGTGTATGTGTAATTTCCCATCTTTATTATATCCTCAGCCCTAGTGCCTTACAGATATTAAGAGCTTAACTAGTGTTCGTTGGAATAAATTTCATTGAAATAATTTAATTAGTTTTATTTTCTTCAGTCTCCAGCTTCTTCAGCCCCATTCTTATACCTACAGCCATCTGAGGTTATTTATCAACCAGTAGAAATTGCACAAGATGGTGGGTGTGTTCCACCTCCTCTCTCTCTAATGGAAGCTTCAGTTCCAGAGGTATGTATTGTGGTTGCAAAAGTTATTTGCAAGTGTTTTCTCATACCTCTGTGTGTGTGTGTGTGTGTGTGTGTACACACGTATACATATACATATACATATGTGTGTATATATATATATTCTTTTAAAATGAAATAAAAGCTATTACTAATATGTTGCATGTTGTGTTTTCTAATTTTCTTTTCCTGTCCATTCCTTTTGCTCCAGCTAAGGAAGTTTTTTTGCTATGAGTTTTCATTCACTTTCTCTCATGTCTTATTTTCTCACCTACAAATATCCTAAATTCTGTATCTGTCAGGTTGTTTTTATTCTGTTCTTCTACATACATTTTTATCATCAATTAAAATCTTACCCTCTCTATGAACTTTTCTCTGAATCTACCCAACTCCCCCTATAAAGTAACATAGCTAAAGAGAGAAATTAATTGTCTTTCCTTTCAGGTTTAATTTTCTTCCCCATATTCTACAACACTCTCTTTTGCTTTCTGTCTAAGAAATAAGTAAAAATAATTTTTAAAACTAATATAACACACTTATTTTAAATAAAAATTGTAAAAACCTACCTTATAATGTTAATATTCTGTAATATCTTTTTTGAAACATAGAGAGTAGAAACTTAAAAGAATAAGTTAATGGACTTTAAATGCAAAGTATTATATCTTTTGTCCTATGAACAATAATTATTTTTACTATTGCTATATATTTCTATAAAGGGATAAGGATAGGAATTGGACCTGTGGTATCATTGACAGTAGGGAACTCTTGAATAAAAACAAGTCACTCCCTCTGCCTATGCATGAAGGCATCTTCTGTACACTTATAGTCTTAGAGAGTTGCCTAGAGCAGTGAGAGGCTAAGTGACCTACCCAGAGTCACACAACCAGTCTGTGTCAGAGGCACTTGAACCCAGGTCTTCTGTGTCACACTGTTTTTCATCTTTCTACATAGTAAAAACAAATAGCTTTATAGTCACATTATTAATTTTTTTAATTTCAGGGGCTTTCCCTTCTAGTTATATATATATACTAAGGATATATCAAAATGTTTATTTTCTTAGTGTAATTCTCTAAATTATGCTGATAACATCTTTTATTACTGTGCAAAGAAATGTTTGGATACTTTTATTCATAATACTGTCGCAGAGGAGGAAGGGGTTTCTTTTGGTGGGAGAATAGTTAAATAAGCGAATTAAAGTATTATAGTTTGCATTTGTGAAAATTTTAGCTCATATAGTTGAAAAGAAAAACTACTACTTTGGGATTCACTTTTAGCTATTGAGTCTAAAAGTGAAGTTTTATAAATATTGAGGAATCTTTTTCTGCCTCTTATAGTTGATCCTTTTAACTAAAACATGTACTTTTTCTTATACTAGCCTTATTCTGATCATGGAGTTCAAGCAACATATCATCAGGTTTATGCCCAAAGTGCAATTGCCATGCCTGCACCAGTAATGCAGCCTGAACCAATTAAAGTAAGCTGTTTATTTTAGATTATTTTCCCCCTCGTATCAGACTTTAAGTCTTTCAGTATTTTGTTCTGAAAATAAAGATCTTATGCAGAGTATCTCTCTCATACCATGATTACCAAGGAATTACTATTCTCTCAAATTATAAAATTGGCCTTATTTATTAAAGATTGGTAGATTTTAGGATTACTGATAGGTAATTAGGTTCTAGTTATAGAAAGTTCTATGGAATATACAAGTGGGATATACCAGAAGTAAAATATGATTAAGTTTTTTTTATTATCTTCTTTAAGTTAAATTAAATATTAGTACAGATATCTAGAAACTTAATAATGACTCTTTTCTTGGTGAGCTTAGGAGGGGCTAGGTTTTGATGAACCTGTTGTGTCCAAAAGAGAGCTGTTTAAGAAACTCATGGGGTGGTGGGAGCAGAAAATTTAGTTAATGATTAACAAGTAAAAGAGTGTCAATAAACCCCAGAGAATAGAGCAGACACAATCCCAGAGCCACTTGAGTATCAGAGATCCAACCATTAGTACTATAATTCAAAGATCAAAGCTAGTACTTTACAAAATAGCAGATCCAGGGACCTAGGCATTACAATGTGGTCTGATATTTGGGCAACATGTCCAAAGCCAGGTGGAGAGCCACGCTGAGGTAGGTTAAGAGGACAACACAGAGAAAAGATTTAGTATTGCACCTCAAAAAAAATATGCTTTCACAGAGCATTAGCCCAAGGCAACAGTTTGCTGATGCTTGCTACACTGCTAGTCCTATTCCAACAAAAGAATTAGCTCTGGGAATACCTGTTCTCTCTTGATATTTTTTTACTCAAACTTATTATGCCAGCTTAGAGAGTTAGAACTTACTTCCATGCTTTTGGTGGTGGTACAGAATCTTAAGTTCAGAAGGCCCTGCTGAGGGATACATCCTTTGCAGCATGAGACTAGCTGTCCAGTCTGCTCTAGGCTGTTGATCATTCTATATAATGTTGAATACAAAGCAATACCATTGTAAGAAACCTCTCCATTTTTGTCACTCTTCCCACCTACCATGGTACAGCCACAGGAAGTAAGATCATGGTCCTAATTTAGTTGAAATATGGAAAGGGTACCTCACTTTTCAAATAGTTTGAGGCTACTTTCCAATTCATTTGTCTCCAGAAGTAAGAAATATATACTGTAGGATGCCAACTGTGATCCTAAAGCAGCTTAGCAACATAATGGTTATCTACATTGAAGATAATCATCCTGTGGATGTTCTAAAGGTGACTTGTATATTTAGTTAAAAGGTAAATTATATTCCATTGCCAAGATGGCAGAATGAAAAAAGAACCCTCTGAAACCCTCCCAAATTCCCCTCCAAGCAACTAGAAAACTGCCTGAGAATTGACCTAGGAGCAGGTAGGCAGCTTACCAGCATGGCAGGAAAGGTCTGTCTCACTGGGGTAGGAAGGGAGCAAGGTCTAGGAACAGCAGCAGCCAGCGTCATAGTAGGGGTCCTGTAGTAAGGCTCCAAGCCCAGGGCAATCCACCAATGAGACCCTGCCCTCCTGAAAACCAGCAGCCCCCTATGAGCAGTCTGTACAGCACAAGTCCCCACCCCAACGACCCCACACCCAAAGCAAGTCCTTGACGCCATTGCTGACCAGTAGTGAAGCCCTGCCCTAGGGCTTGCCAACAGTGAGACCCCACCTTTAGGGCCTGCCAGCATAGAGGTCCTATTTCCATAATAACCCTTCAGCAGGACCTGACACCTGGGGCAGACCAGCAGCCAGATTCCCTCCTCTAGGGCCAGCCACCAGAAAGATTCTGTTACAGTAGCAACCCAGCAAAAAGGCCTCACCCCAGGGGCAGACTAGCAGCTAAACCCCACCCCCAGGGGAGGCCAATAGGGAGGCCCCACACATACCCCCCAGTAGAAGCCAGAAGGGTAGCCTACCCTCCAGTGAAAGCAACTAGCTAATTCCTGAAGCCCAGTGAAAGCCAGTAGTAAGACCTTGAGCACCAAGATGAAAAGTATGGGACAGTGCACGACCAGAGCCCAACTCTCACATGAAAACACTAAGTCACCAAAAAAGACAGGAAAAAAAATGAGCAAAAACCAAAAAAAGAATTTGACTATAGAAAGTTGCTATGGTGACAGGGAGGATCAAGGCATAAACTTAGAAGAGGACAGTAGTGTCAAAATGGCTACATGTGAAGCCTCAAAAAAAAAATATAACTCAGGCCCAAAAAGAATTCATGGAAGAGCTCTAAAAGGATTTTTAAAAGCAAATTAGAGAAATAAAAGAAAAATTTGGAAAAGAAATGAGTAATGCAAGAGAATCATGAAAAAAGAGTCAATAATATGGGAAAAGATATACAAAAATTTACCACGGAAAATAACTTCCTGAAAAGTAGAATTGGCTTAATGGAAAAGGAAATGTAAAAGCTCACTGAAGAAAACAATTCCTTAAAAATTAGAATTGAGCAAGTGGAAGCTAATGACTCTATGAGACATCAAGATACAATAAAACAAAATAAAAAATAAAAGTAAAAATAAGATAGAAGAAAATGTGAAATTTCTCATTGGAAAAACAACTGACCTAGAAAGGAGATCAAGGGAAAGATAATATAAGAATTATTGGACTACCTGGAAGTCATGATTTAAAAAAAAAAGCCTGGATAACATCTTCCAAGAAATTATCAAAGAAAACTACTCTGTTATATTAGAAACACTCCCAGGAACATCATGGCCAAATTCTAGAGCTCACAAATCAAGGAGAAAGTACTGCAAGCAGTCAAAAAGAAAAAATTCAACTATCATGGAGCTACAGTCAGGATTACACAGCATTTGGCAGCTCCCACATTAAAGAACCAGAGGGCTTGGAATATGATATACCGAAAGGCAAAGGAGTTAGTATTACAACCAAGAATCATCTATCCAGCAAAGTTGAATATAATCTTTTAGGGGAAAAAAATGGACATTTAACAAATAGGGGACTTTGAAGCATTCCTAATTAAAAACCAGAGCTGCATAAAAAAATTTGACTTCCAAATGTAAGACTCAAGGGAAACATAAAAAGGAAAAAAAGAGAAAACATAAGAAATTCAAAAGGTTAAACTGTTTATATTTTGCTATGACAAGATAATATTTGTAACTCTTGAGAACTTTATTATTATAAGAGCAGTTAGAAGGAGCATATATAGAGAGAGGGTGTGGATATAAGGTGACTTTGATGGGATGATAACAACCCCACCCCCCAAAAAGGAAGGGGGTTGAGAAAGAAAATTGCACTGGAAGAAAAAAGGGGGAGATTGAATGGTGTAAATTATCCCACATAAAAGAGACATGGAATAATTCATATAATGGAGGGAGAAATGGAGAAGGGGGGTGACGGGCAAAGCTTAAATCTCATTCTCATCAAAATTGGCTCAAAGAGGGACACACTCAGGTGGATATAGAAATCTGTCTTACCATATAAGGAAATAAGAAGGGACAGAGATAATAGAAGAGGAAGGGACGACTAATAAAAAGGAGGGTAGATTGGGGAAGGTGGTGATCAGAAGTAAAACACTTGTAAAGAGGGAAAGGGTGAGGAGCAAGGGAGAGAGGGATAAACAAGGGGAAAATAGCATGGAGGGAAATCCACACAATTATCATAACTATAAATGTGAATAGGATGAACTCACCCATTAAACAGAAGCAGAAAGCAGAATGGATTAAAAACCAGAGTCCTACAGTATGTTGTTCACAAGAAACACATCTGAAGCAGAAAAATACGCACAGGGTAAAGGTAAGGAGCTGGAGCAAAATTTATTAAGCTTCAGTTGAATCAAAGAAAGCAGAGGTATACCAGCCCTGGAGTTCGGAGGATCTGAGTTCAAATCTGGCCTCAGACACTTGACACTTACTAGCTATGTGACCCTGGGCAAGTCATTTAACCCCGATTGCCTAAAAAAAGAAAAAAAGCAGAGGTAGCAATCTTGATCTCATCCAAAGCAAAAGCAAAAATAGATCTAAAGAGATAAAAAGAAACTATATCTTGCTGAAAGGTACCATAGACAATGAAGTCATAGCAATACTAAATATATATCACCATAGACAATGAAGTCATAGCAATACTAAATATATATCACCAAATGATATAGCATCTATGTGTTTTAAGAAGTTGAATGAGTTACAGGAGGAAATAGATAATTTCCCTTCTCAGAACTAGATAAATCTAACCAAAAAATGAATAAGAAAGAAGTGAATAAAATTCTGGAAAAGTTAGATATGATAAATCTCTGGAGAAAATTGAATGGGAATAGAAAGGAATATACCCTTTTCTCAGCAGTTTGTGGCATCTGCACAAAAATTGACTATGTATTAGGACATAAAAACCTCACAACCAAATACAGAAAAGCAGGAATCGTAAATGCATCATTTTCAAATCATAATGCAATAACAATTACATTTAATAATAGACGATGGAAAGAGAGATTAAAAATTAATTGGAAATTAAATAATCTAATCCTAAAAAATAAGTGGATCAAAGAACAAATCATATAAACAATTGATAATTTTGTTAAAGAAAATGACAACAGTGAGACAATGTACCAAAATTTATGGGGTGCAGCCAAAGCGGTACTTACGGGAAAATTTATATCTCTTATTGCTTACATCAATAAAATAGAGAAAAAGCAGATCAATGAATTGAGCATGCAACTAAAAAAACTAGAAAAAGAACAGATTAAAAATCCCCAAATAAACACCAAATTGTAAATCCTGAAAATCAAAGGAGAGGTTAATAAAATTGAAAGTAAAAAAACTATTGAACTAATAAAACTAGAAGATGGTTTTATGAAAAAACTAACAAAATAGATAAACCGTTGGTTAATTTGATTTAAAAAGGGGGAAAAAAAAACCAAATTACCAGTTCCAAAATGAATTCACCACCAACGAGGAGGAAATTAAGACAGTTGTTAGGAGGTATTTTGTCCAATTATATGCCAATAAATTTCACGATCTAAATGAAGTGG